AACTGTGACCAAAGTACAAGTTCAAGGCAGAGCATACCATTAGAGGCATTAACATGGGCCCTAAATGCCACTTACCTTTTGCGGGTATGTACAGCTACAAGTTTATCAAGAAATATCTTGATAAACATGAAAAGTCTTTCCATTTTTAAAGGTTATTTAAAGAAACCTCCCAAGATCAACATCGATCCAGTGAAAAATGCAAGTTTGCCAGCGCTTCTATTTCTCCTGAAGACCCTTCGGAAAAACAAAATCCCTGTGGCCTAAATCTGAATTACTGCTGCAGTGCATATGTCTGGATAGCTTGTGCTCTTCAACGATATGTCACTGTCTTGTCTAAAATCAAAGGTGTCTAATCGCAAAGGCTACCCAAGGAGAATACAGACAGAAATCCATGCCTGAGTTATGAGTTCTGGCACATACTACTAGCCAAAAACTTTTCCATTACTTAATCGGTGCCACCCGAAAAACAGTCAAGGCCAGAGTCTCTATTTATCCATGAGTCAAGCAGCAGTACAGGAAACAACTGCTGCCAATTCAAAGTGCTTCAACTCCAAACTGGAGAAAGGATGGTTCAGTTTCCATGCTCATCCCATCTCAGCCACCTGCCTAGAACGCTTCCACAGCTCTGCTGATCACTGTTACCAAGCCTGGTGTCCAACTGCACTCGTGAATCGGAGGACCAGTCCCCTATGAGATGAAGAGAAGTCCCAAACAGCCACTAGCCCTATTGGGGAAACAAAAAACTAACTCCAAGCACTCCAACAGGCAGTCCGTGGATCAGATCTGACCTACCTGACTTTCTTCAGAGGGAATGGGTGTTCAGGCACCAAACATGTGTCCTGGCAGAAAAACGCTTCCACATTCACACTCTTGCACAGACCCAGGAGCTGCTCAGTCCACACAGTCTCCTGGAAAACTTACCCCACCCAGGGCAGAAGACACCGGGGGGGACACCAGAAAAGTCTAACCAAAAATAAGGCCCACAGCTTGCAGCTACTGAGGCTGGAACACATGAAGCTGATTTTGTTACAACGACAGGAAACAACAGAACTCAAAACAGCCTATCATAATAGTTAATCCCGATAACCTCTCCTTACTTTTCAAAGAAAAGCAATATAAAGCCAAAAAAATGGTAGTAAGAAAATAATACAAAATATATCACAAATACTAAACATGCAACTAGCACACAATCACCTTTTACTATCATGGTGCAACGAGTAAGGCGCTGTATTTCACATTGCTGTAAACCCCACTTTTGAAAAGTCTGGTAACACATGAGAATAACGGTCCTGAGAATTCAGCTAAGACCAAAACATGCTGATTCACTAAAATAAGGGTTTTGACAACTGCTGCACTGTCTTCTGTGCAAGTTTCACGGATGAGCTATCCATAACCGCTTTGATTACAACATCCTTGAAAGATCCTTAGAGATGTTTATATTTAAGGCAATAGCAAAAACAAGCATGCAAGCAGAGATGAACACAGGGGATTTAAAAAAAAAAAACTCACTCTATTTTTTATTTTACAGTGCTTTGCAGCTGAAAAGTGAAACTAAATATAAGCAATTGCATAGCCTGTGGTATCGCAGTCCATCTGAACTCTGCCCTGTGGTTGCAGTTTCTTTAACATGAGAATACTTGCTAGACAAAGAAACAAAGCATCTTCATATTTCCTCAGCGCTGATATCTAATGTTGTGTGTTTTTTCTTTTTTTTTAATAAAAAATTAAACATATCAAAAATATTTTTGCATGTTGATTTGCCTTTGAATAAGATCAAATAATTTGTGATTGTGCACACGTAAGCGCTACATAATCAACATCCAAAAATGTGTGATCTACTGGGCTGTTGAAATGGTATCTATCTCCACGAAACAGAGTTGTGTCACGTGCCACATGCCACACCACCCGCTTTCCTGGAGATATTGTTAGAATAGCTGATAGATCACAAAGCTGTAACTTAATCTGAAAAAGGTGATTGCAGCACTCAGCTTTCATACTGCCCTAAGCGTCTGAAAGTATATCCAGACAGAAATTCACTCCAAAGAGCCAGCAAGGTGGGCACCCACCCCTTGCCAGAGGCATGACTCTTGTCTCCCGTGTCCCAGATGAGCATCCTAACCATCAGGCTGTATTTGGTTGGGTCTCTCCCACAAAGAAACACTTGTCAAATAGCTTGATTTCATGAAATATTTTGACTAACTGGCATTTTCCACTAACCCCTGCTTTGTCAAAACATTTCCAAATGAGGGCTAGAGGCCAGTCATGCCAGCGATTCAAGCCATTTAAGAACAGGGCCGTTATCTATAGGTTTGTGCACTGCAAGAAGCTGTCTCTCAGGGGCACACTGTACCATCTGTATTCTTCTGCCTGTTGAACAAAAATTACCGCCTGATGCTGAGAGGTAACGACCTGAGGAAATGCCAGCGACACCTCAGGTGTACAGAGAACAAGCTTGTATTTTGATGGTACTCAAAGAACTACTCAGTCATGAATGCTTCACTGTGCAAACAGGCCACACAATAAACAAGGGCAGGCCCACAGCTACATGTTACTCACAGCAATTATTTTAAAGTCTACTCACTCCTGAGAGCACGATTTCACCATATGGACACAGAAGATTTATGTAAGGAACGTTAAACGGTATGGTCATCACTAAAGAGTATTATTTAAAAATTAAAAAAAAAAAGTCAGTTCTAAATCTTGTCAGAAATAAATGCTTTCTGCTTTCAATAAGGTCTTTGAACGGAACGAGACTACGAGACTGTCTTCCATATAGTGGATTTCATGCCTTTTATAATGCCATGGGCAGAACTAAAGGGATTATTTCCATACTAATTAGCAAAAGAGAGATTTCTGCATATCACGTCCTGTGTCTTAATTGCAATTAAGGAACGTTTTTAATTGTTAAGGACAACGGATGCATAAGTCTAAAACCTAAAGTTTTCTCCTTCATGCCTTACCACAGCTCACATTAACAAATGGGTGTGAAGTGAAAATATCTTCAAACTAGAGCTTTAGAGAACATTCAGGTTGAATGTGAGTGTCGAACCCTGGGCTTATAATTATTCAGTTTTCAAAATCAGAAGCATCACCAAATTATACAGTCAATTCAACTCCTAGCAACTAGCATCACTGCACCTTTCAAAGGAGGACAATTCTTAGCTAATCAGCGTCACATACGAAATCCATTTTTGTCATATTCTCAGATACCGAATATTCTTGGAAGCGTCCACTCTCCCTCAGGAACGCACCATATAAGCTTCACAAAATGTTGTCTGAGGGAAAAAGATTAATGCATCACCCACACCAGGAAGAAAGGGCAGAAACCAAGATGTTATTAGTAACGAGGATGTCACGGGGAAAAAGAAAAAGGGGAGTAAGTGCGACGCCAAAGAACCATCAGCTGCCATACTAAAAGGGATCTCGTTAGGGCGATTATTAGCTGCCTCTCATCTTCATTTTCCAACTGGACCCGTCTTAGCTGTTCTGGTTTCAAAAGCCATCCTGAAAAATTCATCACCGTGTTACAACTCCTCTGAGTTACAATATTTAGGCCACTAGTTGCCAGGGCACGTTTTGCAGTTGCCTGCTCTTCGTCAGGCAGAGTCTCTGATAAGCTTCCCTGAACCATGCTAGGTTGTTTCCTTGAGACTGAATCCGATCTGCCATGGGCATATGAAAATTATCTTAGGTTAGTATGTAACTCCTCATATCTTTTGCTGATAAAGGGACCTCTATCAAAGCGAAACGCATTATCGTATACCTGTAATCAACTTGAGATGTTTGAAACCTAGAGGCCACTGAATCCATGTTATGGGCCTGAACTTCAGTTTACACTTTACACAACCACGTGCCCCCCGGGCAACATACTGGGGAAATCACTAATGGGATAATATTGCAGTTTCAGCACAATGACTGAATCTTATAACCAGAAGCCTGAGTGAAATTGGCGGGTTTCTCCTTCTATAACATGCCAGGCAAATAACCACATAAAAATACACCTACTACTGTCAACTAGATACCATCAGTTTTGACAGTTATAGGACAAGGGTCATTTACAATCTTGTATATAAAGGTCATTTCTCCAGCACAGGGTAGAGGCAAAAGCACAGGCATTATTTTGGAAAGTTTAATAACACCTCTCTTCTATCACAGAAATAAGGAGAATTCCAATGTATAACTCACAAATTTCACCTCCCCTCCCACATTCCCTGAAATAATCCATAAACCAAAGTTTTCATATTTTCCAAGAAAACACAGCTGTATAGGTGCACTCTGTGGTTTTGGTTACATTCCTATCTGAATAGATTAGCAGTGTATTATAAACACATTAAACACCTTGGAAAAATGCTGGATTTATAAAGAGGTAAAAATCAACAAGCAAAAGAAACCCTAGGGTGTTACGTCAGGACTTTTTACGGTTCTGACTTAAACTAGAAAAAAGTGTGTGCAGTCAAACCCCAATTCCAAGAAATAATGGAGCGGAGCTGGCAAGCGGAAAATGATTTCTGTCCACGACTGTGTTGTGCAATTTCACTTTCTAACTGAATTCTGCTCTTCTTTTTATTTTTATTTTTTGCTTTGCGGATGTTTTTTCCTATGTAAACTAGCCTTACTGCAACGCTGAGAGCGCTAAGCGTCGGTGGCCGTTTCGCCGGCTTCTCCCTCCATGTGCCTCAGGTGGGATCCGGACAGGAAAAACCCCAAGAGATCTGAGCAAAACGCTCGCTCTGTCTCGCTGATCCAACCTTTGGCCTCACCTCAGAAGCTGCCAGGACGGCTGTTCTTTACAAGGATCAGTACAATTAGCAGTAAAGTTGACAATTTAGTCTCTGCACGGCAGTTCAGCTCGCAGACCGCGTACAGACAGCGTATTTGCCGAGCGCCTGAAGGAGGACATAGAGCTATTCTGAGAAACAGCAAGGCCCTTGCCCCTGGGACACAAACTGGAGGGCCAGGGCACAGAGCACTCACGGGACGGGATTTAAGAAGAAACTCACTGACGCGTCTTCGCCGGCATGAAACGTCTCAAGGAGGCACAAAGCGCTGCAGCCACGGCACGTATCTTCTTTTCCAGCACCCAAAACGGACTTGCTCTCGCTCCTTCTGCGTGGCAACCGGCGCGCCCGGAGCTGCCACCAGCCCAGGAGCAGAGGGCTCCTCCGGCGCGAGGAGCGAGGGGTGGGTTATAATCGTTCCCCCCGGCGTCAGGCACCG